TGTGCCTGGTCTGCTCCCAGCTCTGAGCTCAAATGCATTTTCAAGCACACAGCTTTCTCCAAATGGGAGCTCCTTAGCAATGTTTGAGGTCCTGAGCCTGCATTGCCCCAGTGTGGTCAGACCACCCTGATCATGGTGGGCTCTGCATAGCTGATACCTGGGAGTACCGCCCATGGCACCCTCCAAAAGCTCCCTAATTCGGGGGCTGAAATCCTGCCATCAGTGAAGGCAAGAGCAAAATGTGTGTGTGTTTTGCTTGGATTTTTATTTTTTTAATAGACTCCTGTGTGCATGAAGGAGGAGATGTGATCCTGCACCGCCGGACACAGCCCAGCCTCTTCACAGCACCGGCCCCGCAGCCCCGCGGGGGCGCAGGCAGGGCTGGCCATCCCCGCTGCTGCCTGCACGTCTGATCCACAGCTTCATTCTCTTAAAATACCGACCATCGTGCCGGGTGTGCCGTTTCGGTAAGCGATCCCTTTAGGTCTGGTGAAGCAGGCGGCGGCGGCTGTAAGATGAGCCATTTTGCAGACAGGTGCAGAGCACTCCTCATTCCCTTTTATTTTCAGCACCTCCCATGTTTGTTAGTTTTCTTATTCCAAGGAAATGCCACATCCTCCTCACTGGACTCTTTTCTACTTTCTGAAGCCTTAAGGACTCTGTCTTTGCTTCCCTCTCAAACAACATCGCTTTTTGATATGTCCCCGTGCACAGTGGGGCAGCCACAGCTCTTGGGGTCACTATTTCCCCACAGACTTACTCAGCAATGTGGGAAGAGCCTTTATTTATTTTAGTTCAAGGGAACCAGCTTTGGGCTTGAGCTTTAAATGGCTTCACTACCGGGTGTCAGAGGCATTTGAAAAGATTAATCCCCTGCCTCCCTCCAGACGTGCCAATTGATCATACGCATGGGGAGCAGCAGGCAGATGGAGATACGCGGGCAGTCTTCAGCTTTAAAGACAATCTGGAGGCTTAGGAATCAGGAAGGTAAAGTTAAAAGAGGTATTTGAAGAAGAAATATTGTCTGTGATACAGGGATGGTTCGGGATGTCTGGGAGCAGCGAGACACTGCTGAGCTCCATACCCGTGTTTGGTGCTGCTCGTACCGCCGGGATTTTACAGTGGCGATCAGAGCAAGGCTTTCGTGGAGCTTCCGCATGCGGGCTTGAGCTTTCTTCAGGCAAAATGGACGAGATCAGGGAGAGGAGGATGCTCAGAAGTGAATTCACATGAAACCTCAAAAGGTGGAGGCAAAGCACAGGCTCCAGGCTAGCACTTCAGAAGACACTGGGTTATTTTTCTTGATGGTGGTTCGCAGTGCCTCTGGCCACCATACCAGTCTCAAACAGGAGTGGGTCTCATATGGGCCATGTTTGAGCTAGAAACTAGAAGGTTTTTCTTAGTTTCCAACCCAAATGCCTGGAAATGCTGTGAAGATAGCTTATCTTGGAGAATTCTTGGTCTGTGGGACCCACAAGGATATTTTTTTCTCTGATATATTGGTTTTCAGTAACACTCCCAGCTGCAATCAAAATAGGTAGAAATGTGAAAAAATAAACATAGAAAGCTCATCTCAGAGAATCTGGAAGTTAAAAATCTATATACCTTTCTCCACACAAAAATGAATACATTTAAAATGGTTTATTTAAAAAGTAAGGGTTAAGTACATTATACATGGTTGTGATTATACCAGTAGAACTGAAGCACAGTGGAAATAACACTTTAGAACTGCAGACAGAAATGTAACCTCAAGGGACATGATATATTAGCCCTTGTGGATATGCGATCCATACAGAACGAAAAAGAAATATAAAAATAGTTTATTGTTAGATGTACGGGCGTATGAAGTGATTTCTCATTTTGCTCCTATTGTGGATGAGAAACTAGGAAGAGAGCGCTGATGATATACCTGAAACTTTGTTTCTCAGAAAATCCAATATGATCCAATAGCATTTTTTTTAGGTCTGCTGTTACAGTATGTTATAGGATAACACCAAAAGACCGATTATTGTTAACGCTATGATGATGGTATCTGCAGGCCTTGCTGAGAAATGGGGGCTAATTTGTGTTTGATGCTGTTCGGGGAAAAGAGAGAGATGTAGAAGAACAGATGATTTTTTTTTTTTTTTTTTTTACCTGTCAACAGGGTGCTGATCAAGCTGATGAAACTGCCAGGGCACCGGATACAAATACATGTGATAATTTTTT